TACTATTGAGTTTGCTTCATCGGCCGACAATTTATTGCAGCCTTAGGTACCAAGTGATAATGAAAAGCAATAAGTACTAGATAAATTTAATTTAAACCAGAAATTGCTACATGAATGTACCATTTCTCTTGACAATTATGCTGGCACTAAACTTTGTAATTGTCCTTAAATGTGATTTAACATGTTTCATGACATATTTCTTTGTACCTTGGTTTCTGAACTGCAGCTTGGAATATATCGTATGTACTCACGTCATAGTCTGATCCATCTACCGGTATGTCTAGGCTTATGCAGTTTGTTGCGAGTAATATGTGGAACGATCACCGTAGACCATGACCTGTCGATGCATGATATGACAGTCGATAAAGTCCATGTTTATTTTTGCAGCTAGACTCGATTCATATGCGAGAAGCATAAATCATGGCAACAGCGAAAGCGACAATAATTATAGGATAAAGCCACTCTTTCTCGGCAAGTTAATAAAATTAAGGTTATTGAAGAAAACATCTTGCAGATGTATTCATCTTCGGTTCCCAGATGTGGTACACAGACGACTGCAGAATTCTCGATGCATCAAGCAAGTGTGTATACATTAAAAATGCATTTTTAATTTGTCTTTTAATGTCTCATTGAATAACATTTGCTTTGACACACAAACACACACACACACACACACGTGGGGAGACACACCAAATTTTACACATACCATACTGTTAATATAGGTCATTTACATTGTGCTAAGGTTAGAAACTCGAAATCATTTGCGATAGAATGCCAATTAAATTACCATATATCCTGATGTCAATGTTTTGCAAAAATACTATACTACTATACTTGCTTGTGAAGTCCTGTAAAGCACACTTATATCCCATGCATGATCTGCGGAAGAGTATACTTTGAAAGCTATGAAAATGACATGAGTTTTTAAGGCTATCTTTTTTTTCAAAGTCTCTTTATATTGCCACAATATCGAACTATAGCAGGGCTAGATCTCCTCTTTACGTAAGGTAGAACCTGTCTCGACAGCCATGAAATGAAAATTGTATATACTGGAGCTCTGACTAGTACATTTTCCCCTTAAGTAGGCATTTTTCTTAGGGTGAAAAACTGCATTAATATTTTCTTTAATGGGTGTTTTCAGCTACTCAATGACCTAATTCTGTTAAATACGGTATGTAATAACGTTTGATACTTGTATTTCATGGTAGTGAAATAATAATCTCACTGCATTTAAATTCTATTTTGTCGGAACGTCTTAATTTCTTATTCTGATTGTGATGGTAGACAAGACATTAAAGGCAGACTAACAAGCACGACAAGATAAGCAGCTAATCAGCCACATGTGCCAGTTATTATAGAGATGTTAATGATACGACCACATAAGAAAAAACGTTGCTGCATACCAACTTTGTTCGTACATCAGTGTAAATGGTAGGTCTAGACCAAAAGTTGCATACATTTTATTTCAAGCGCAGATCTTGATCTCAAAGTCATCACATTCTGATCTTGAGCTCCACCATTTCCAATCATAAACCCGCCTTAATGTAACTACCTTTATAATTGGATGAAAGAAAACATCGAACACGAGTTCTTATAATTATGTAATTTCCAGCAGATTTGCAGAATCTTTTTACAACGTTGAATCTTAGTCTACCTTTCTCGACGTTAGAGGGAAAATATATATAAGCTTAACTGTGTTACGCTATGCAATAGATCTTGGAAGGAATATGCACTATTGACTAGATGCAAGTAATATATTTGCTATATTTTGCTGCTACAGTCATATTCAAGAAGAATGACTAACTTTATGTGACTTCTAATATCATTCAGTCTTATTACATAATAAAGCATGATACATAATAAAATGACATAACAGGTGAAATAAAAATAAAAATACATACATAGCGTGTATATATATATATATATATATATATATATATATATATATATATATATATATATATATATATATATATATATATATATGTGTGTGTGTGTGTGTGTGTGTGTGTGTGTGTGTGTTGGTAAACACTGATAGAGAGATAGATTTCCGAAAGAAAGATATACCAATTTCATTAAAACAATACTAGTGAATAAGAAGGTGGATGCATTAACTAACCCAACAAAATCTGTAAAATAACATTACTGAACATTATCAACGTCCCAGCTTTTGCAGACAAAAATATCTTTCGCGTATATCGTTGTCTTGCGACTGACCAATTAAACTGCGATTAACTACTCATATATTTATTGTTTTATTTCTCTATAGTATGTGTCGTCCAAAAGAGTACCATCAAAACAGCTACATTATTCGCAAATGAATAGAGAAAACAATTGCATAATATGCGTCAATTAGATATGGAATTTATATACGAACATTGAAAGTGAAGTCTATTTTTATCTGATATTATGATGTATGAAAATATATAAACCATGCCAACCAATCTAACCACATCTCTCTCTCTCTCTCTCTCTCTCTCTCTCTCTCTCTCTCTCTCTCTCTCTCTCTCTCTCTCTCTCTCTCTCTCTCTCTCTCTCTCTCTCTCTCTGAGAACGTGTGCATCCCGTGTTGCATATTCTGACTAATTGTAAAGGATATTGATATGTAAGCTAAGGAAAATCCATGAAAACGATTTGCAGCTTCAGTTAACTTACATAATTCATGCAATTACAAATTCCGCTAATACTACATTTCTGTAATTATCATTACATTCTTGCCAAGTACATCAAAGACAATCTTTGGTTCATACCCTGTAGTGCTAATATGAAGAACACCATCATTAAAACATATCATTCTTTAATAATGTTTTTTTTTATCTGTCCCAATAAATTGCATTTTCAGACTGGTGTTAAGGACTCTTAGAAGTGGCGGAATTGGTTACTGTATGATGGGTCTGCATTTTATTTACAAGTATCATTGCATCTTATCGTGACTAATCAAAATCTTTGATACTGTACACAGACGGACATTACATTGTTCTAAATGCACGCAAATTCGCTTAGAGTGGTTTAACACGAATTATTTATGTACACACTAGAAATGTTGTCAAAACTGCTCAGGTTTATTTTAAAAAAATCACGTCGAATTTTCCTAAAATAAACGATGAAAGGCCAACACATGGTGGATAGCTCGATGTATCTCAGATCCGGAACAGAGCACATTTAAAAACTTACCTCTTGTACGTTACTTGACACCTTTTCAAAATGACAGCTGATGCAAGCTACTTCCTTTTAAGTGATATTAGGAACAGCTTTTGTTACGATAGTGCGTGTATAACGAATCATATCCCCATCATCACCAGAAAGAGAGAGAAAAAGGCAAGCAAGCAAACAAACAAACAGCATTACTAAATAAAATTTAAGAAAACGAACAATATGCAATTCATTTTATTTTATTCTTGTAATGCAGAGAGATTATCGAATATTGAATTATCTATTTATCGAATATTGAATTGAAGAGATTATCGAATATTGAATTATTTATTTATCGAATATTGAATCGAAGAGATTATCGAATATTGAATTATTTATTTATCGAATATTGAATCGAAGAGATTATCGAATATTGAATTATTTATTTATCGAATATTGAATCGAAGAGATTATCGAATATAGAATTATTTATTTATCGAATATTGAATCGAAGAGATTATCGAATATAGAATTATTTATTCATAGAGATTAGTCAGTTGTATACTGGAAGATACGTATCCATATAAATAGAAAAAAATCACAAGTGTTACTTCTTTTTTCACCGTACATTCACGTATTTGCAAAATTCGACTCATAACTATCATTGGTATATTTGACCTCTTTTGTTATACATGGGATTTGTATATAAAACAGAAAGAAAAGAGACTAGATAAAGGTTTCAATTCATTTCCTTTGGACAACACGCATCAGTTCTTATTGGAGTTCATATTGAGTAGGGTCAAAAATCTGACAGGTGACAAGACACATAAGAAAAATAATAACCTTTTAAGTTTTGTCCTCTCAACAGTCTTATTTAAAGGCAGTCACTTGTAACCTTGCACCATAGAGCAAAACTTCGATGCTCCGTTGCGAACTCAATACAAGGCAATAAATTAGATAACATAATAAATATAATTTACACGCCATTCAGAAAAGTAGTGTTTGATTTTGCACATATAAAAACAAATTCTCACAACTCACCTTTCTAATTTTGAAGTATGGCCAACATTTAGTCAGCAGCCACTGCATAGTGATTGGTCGAATGGCATGAAACAATAAATAAAATAAAGGAGGAATGATGTAGATTTATTTCTCTTTTGAAGCCATTAGTCTTCTCTCATTGCAGTCTGGGAATTCATACGTGAATCAAACCATAAATTAGTTGCAGAATAATTATTGATTCCTGCAAAATTAATCAATTTTTCGATATCTACCTACAATAACAGCTTCAGCCTGCGCAACATACACATATATGCCGTATTTCAATAATTTATATGTAGCCGCCATCACACCCGCAATAAAACAAATTGACAAACGCAGTTGTCACAAAAAATATTATTTATTAACAAAAAACATTGGTAGGAATAAAAGCATTGTTCTAGAAGAAAAGCAAGAATAATCTTCCGAATTATTGATAGTCCTGGCTGCTACAAAGCGTATAACTTCCTCTTGTCTTATAACGTAATGTGGTATAATAGTGAAGTGGGTGATGTTATGCGATGAAATGTTAATTGACTGCGTGAAACATGGCTGGCCTTATGCCAGTTGGTGTGTGTGTGTGTGTGTGTGTGTGTGTATCTGTGTTTAAATTTTTAACGTAGCTCTAACAATTTTGCAGTCATATCGCTACTATGTCTCTGCAGTGTGGCAGTTTATAGTGATGTCTAGCACTGGGGCATCGTACCGCATACATGCAGCATGATATCCAGTCACATTATCCTGACACCAGACCGACCAGTCCTAACACTAACATTTTAATGCTGAGCACATAGCAAGGCAGCTCTTAGTATCATTTTTATTCTTTGGTAAGACTCAGTCGGGGTTCGAATCCATGACCTCTCGCGTCCTAGGCGAACGCTCTAACCATTAGGCCACCTGAGCGGTCATATGTGCCAATTAGGAAATTTGGCCCAATCAGATACCGCGCTCACAGGGGCCGCGCGTGTTAGTAATAATTTGAAAAATATATCTATAGAGAAAAAGTAAGTTCAAAGAGATGGAATAAAACTTTTAAGGTAAGGATACGTTAAAAAGGATACATTATTAGGTCATTATGACTGTTCTCGCAGTTGAAATAGATGGTTTTTAAGGGCGCTCTTGAATGAGATCACTGTGGCTTTGTGTCTAAGTGCATTGAACAATTCGTTCCACGTTGCTGGGCCCTGGTATGCAAAAGAACGTTGTCCATGTGATTTCAACTTCATAGTGTGAATATTGAGAATGCGAGTGTCAGAAGAGGAGCGTAAGCATCTTGCAGGTGTATACACATGGGTGATGTCAGATAGGTATGTTGGACTGGAGCCGGAAGTGAAACGTAGCAGAGAGAACAAATATTGTGTTTAATTCTGAATCGTATGGATAGCCAGTGTAGGGTATAGAGCAGCGGAGAGGTACTCTAAGGATGAACGTTTTAAAGTTTCTGAAGTAAATATTGAGATGAACCAGACAGAATTGAATTACAATAGTCCAGTCTTGAAAGTACTAAGGAACACATAAGCGTTTTTGTGGCATCAACTTGCGAACGGAGCTGATGCGTCTCAGCTCAAGATATGTAGCCCGGCACATGGTCATGACATGTTGATGTAATGAGAGAGTACTGCCAAGAGTGATACTGAACCGATGTTTCGTAATGACTGCTTGAATGAAATGTTGGTATTGCTAATATTTATTGTCTGAGGTAAAGGATGTGAATGAGAAAGTCTTTGTTTTGTAATCAGGATAATTTAGTTTTATCATCATTCATTTGCTGCTTGTTACATGTTATCCATGATTTCGCATCAGAAATGCACCATTCTATGTCTTGGATGGTAGCTTCAATTTCCGCTGGACGGTTGGATTTGTATATTTGAGTGTCATCAGTATACAATTGGTGAGACACTCTATGATAATCTATGACACTTGAGAGTGGCTAAGTGTACAGAATGAAGACAACAGGTCTAAAAACAGACCACTGTGCAACACCACATCATAGATCAACTGGGCTGGAGTGTTTTCCATTTGCGAACACAATGTGTGTCCTGTTGACCAAGTAGGACTTGAACCATAGTAAGGCCATATCGTGAATGCTAAATACATGCTGGAGATGGTGAAGTAATATATCATGGTCTATAGTGGCAAATGCTGCAGATAATTCAAGGAGAGTGAGGTCTGTAGTCTTTCCGCCTTCCAAAACAGAAAGAAGGTCGTTGACTACTTTCAGAAGATCGGTCTCAGTACTGTGGCGAGGGCGATATTCAGACAGTACATTGCTGAAAAGACTGTTTCAATTCAGATGAGATACAAGTTGGGATAGAACAATTTTTTCTAAGATTGTTTTTACATGAATGGGAGATTAGAAACTGGGCGGTAGTTCTTTAGTTCCTTATGGTCAAGTTTTGGCTTCTTCAGCAGTGGTTATACAATGGCAGTTTTGTAAAATGATGAGAATTCCCCAGATGAGAGAGACTTATTAATAACATCAGTTAGATAAGGCAATATTGGATCCAAGCACTCTAGCAGAATTGAGGTCCGAATCTGATCCAGTTCACATGACTTTGGTTCACTCTTAATCACGATTGTACGTACTAAATCAATATAGACAGGTTCAAATGTTGCTAATGGTTCCCGTTGAAAGTCTGTATCGCAACTCTATGGTGATGACGAGTAAACTGAAATTGTTTCAAGTTTATCTCTGATGGTTTGTACTTTGTCACGGAAGAAATTTCCAAACAGGTCCGGAAGGTCGACTCGAGAGAAGGTTGATGGAAGTGGTGTACATTTATTCATTGACATTAGCTTGTTAATAATCTCAAATAGCTCTTTGCAGCTGGAACTTTCCGTGATCTTAGTACTGTAGTGCTCCAATTTCGCTTCATGGACTATTTGACAATCTTCTTAGAGGCATCATAAATCTGCTTATAAACAGTGAGTCTGGTGGAAAGCCAAAGTCTCTCAGCTTTACAACGATCTCTTTTAGCAGTGCGAAGCTGATCCGTAACACTGCTATACCACCGAGAACACTTCTGAATTGCTACTTTGCACTTGGTTGCTGGGGCGTGTTTGTCGAGCAATAAAAGCAGGCAGTTATCAAGTTGTTCTGCTTTAGTAGGTAAGCTAGTTGTTAGGTTTGCTTGGATGTTGTCCATTAGTTTGGTTCTGTTTATCATACGGAGGTTTCTCTTAGCAGCAAATAAAGTTGGAGGGTTAGGGACTGATACGTCAAGATGGCACATAATGCAGAGGTGATCTGATGAACTTTCGTGGAACACCAGGGCGGATTGAAGAATATTATCATCAGGTCTGTAAAGAATCCAATTTAAAATGTGACTATGTTTATGGATGGGTTGGATATATGCCTGATTGAGGTTGAAAACGTGAATGGAATCTAGGAATTTCGATGTGCATGGGTTTTCAGGACTGTCACAGTGAAGGTTGAAATCACAAAGAATAATTAGGTTGCCACTCATAGAATTTCCATACTCCAGGAGATTCGGAAACTGCTCCTAAAAGAGAGTGTTTGTCAGCTTGTTTTTTCTACTAGGAGGAGGGCGATAGAGGAAGAAAAATAAACTGACCTTTGTTCTAGTGTAAGTGTAATTTGGACTAGTTCAAACGATGTGTGGTCGAAATTGAAAGTTGAAGTGTAGTAAAGTTGGTTAATCATGGAGTTCCCTGCGATGATAGCAATTCCTCCTCCGCGGGAGAGGCGGGGGAACGACTTGATGGAGTAACCGGTGGGTGTTAGATTCGCGCACTTGGGTTCGTCACCTGATGTTTTTAGCCATGTTTCTGTCAGGAAAAATATGTCGATGTTCTCTGATCGTTGATAAAATTAACTATTTATGTGCGCTTTTCCGATAATCCTCTTGATTGGTCATTGAATAATGCAATGCGCAGTTGTATCACTTCAACAGAAGAGTTGTATCTCTTCAATATCATATAAGACTTGTTTAAAAGATTTTTACCAAATGCCGTGTTCAATTTAAATCGATCACTCGGTTGTTAAAGCCGTTCCTGGTGAGAAATATTCAATGTCATGTATTTAATTGATTGTGCCAAACCTACCAATGAAAATTTAAACAATTGCCATGGTAAAGTTCTATATGGTAACAATTTTATAAAAAGATACAGCTTGTATTTTGTAATTGTTTTCTTTACCACACTGTCATAGTTGCTATGCAGTGAGATCCTACCAGCATTTTATTTACTTTTCTCATAAATAGAAGATTACTTACTACACTGCAAATTACGACTTAAGCCACTGAAGGTCATATATAGAACCAATAGATGAAACTATGATTTGTTGTACAATTGCATCATTCGCTTTGTGTTTGTGGCCAATATGTCCATATTTCATTAAGCATCTCCAATGCCACCATTAAGGCAATAATCAATACAAACAAAACCACTAAAGCCATAAACACCAGCACTAAAGCCATAATCATCACTAACACTACCCCTAAGGTCATAATCATCACTAACACTACTAACACTAACATCACTAACACCTCCCCTAAGGTCATAATCATCACTAACATCACTAACACCTCCCCTAAGGTCATAATCATCACTAACATCACTAACACTAACATCACTAACACCACTCCTAAGGTCATAATCATCACTAACACCACTAACACTAACAACACTAACAGCACCCCTAAGGTCATAATCATCACTAACACCACTAACACTAACATCACTAACACCACCCCTAATGTCATAATCATCGCTAACACCACTAACACTAACATCACTAACACCACCCCTGAGGTCATAATCATCGCTAACACCACTAACACTAACATCACTAACACCTCCCCATAGGTCATAATCATCACTAACACCACTAACACTAACATCACTAACACCACCCCTAAGGCCATAATCATCACTAACACCACTAACACTAGCATCACTAACACCACCCCTTAGGTCATAATCATCGCTAACACCAGCCCTAAGGTCATAATCATCACAAACACCACTAACACTGACATCACTAACACCACCCCTAAGGTCATAATCATCGCTAACACCACTAACACTAACGTCACTAACACCACCCCTAAGGTCATAATCATCACTTACACCACTAATACTAACATCACTAACACCACCCCTAAGGTGATAATCATCACTAACACCACAAACACTAACATCACTAACACCACCCCTAAGGTTATAATCATCGCTAACACCACCCCTAAGGTCATAATCATCACTAACACCACTAACACTAACATCACTAACACCACTCCTAAGGTCATAATCATCACTAACATCACTAACACTAACATCACTAACACCACCCCTAAGGTCATAATCATCGCTAACACCACTAACATTAACATCACTAACATCACGCCTAATGTCATAATCATCGCTAACACCACTAACACTAACATCACTAATACCACCCCTAAGGTCATAATCATCACTAACACCACTAACACTAACATCACTAACACCACGCATAAGGTCATAATCATCGCTAACGCCACTAACACTAACATCACTAACACCACTCCTAAGGTTATAACCATCGCTAACACCACCCCTAAGGTCATAATCATCACTAACACCACTAACACTAACATCACTAACACCACCCCTAAGGTTATAATCATCACTAAAACTACCACAAAGTCTATAATCATCACTAACAGCAACATTAATGTCATAATCATCGTTAACACCACTAATAAAGTCGTAATTATCACAAACACCACCACTAAAGCCATAATCATCACTAACACAGCCACCAACACTGCAACAATTATTATTGATACAAATACTGACCTTTGACCTCACATTTGATAGGAGTCTTTGTTATTGTGACCGTAAAGTTTGAACACAACACTTGGGCGGGATATATAGTTATTGCCCATAAAACATATATGGAAA